TTTTTTTTCATGCTGTGTGATGTGATTATTATAATATTGATCAATGACTTAATCAATAACATATTATTGAAAACTTTCTAGATTTTTTCATAATATATAGTAGCAGTCAAAAGAAACGCAACAACTTATTTTTAGCTTTAAAAGCTTATAAGTTATTATTATATATGCTAGAAATATAATTTTTGATTTATTTTAATCCTTATATTTTGGAAGATATCCTATAAAAATTTATTAGCCAATTAATAATGCCAATTTTTTATAATGTAAAGATCTATATTAAAAATAGTACTTAATAACTTTTGAGCTTAGAAATCTTTTTTAAGCAGGCTAGCTATTATAAAACTGATACTAGATTCTGATTCTCCTCTGAGTGATGATTCCAATAAGCTAAATTTCGTTCAAATCAGACCATCTGATCAGGAGTTATCGCGTAGTAAAGATTGGCATTTTATTATAAAAAAATTAGTCTAATTAATTTTATAGTAAAATGTCAATCTTTACTACGCGATAACTTCTGATTGAATAGTTTGATTTGGACGAAATTTAGCTTGTTGGAATCATCACTCAGAGGAAAATCGAAATCTAGTATCAGTTTTATGATAGCTAGCCTACTTAAAAATATTTTCTAAGCTTAAAATTCATTAAGTACTATTTTTAATGTAGATTTTTATATTATAAAAAATTGGCATTATTAATTGGCTAATAAATTTTTATAGGATATTTTCCAAAATGTAAGGATTAAAATAAATCAAAAATTATATTTCTAGCATTTATAGTTAATAAGTTATGAGCTTTTAAAACTAAAAATGAGTTGTTGCATTTATTTTGACTGCTACTATAATTATTGTTTTTCTTATGCAGAATATGACTAATAATAATAAATACGTAAAAATTGTATTATAACTATAAAGTCATTCACATTTAGAGTGATTGTTACTATACATAATAACAATTATAAAACTTTTTTGTTTAAATAGAATAATCTCTATTAGTAAATGTTATTCTTATAATTTGTAGTATATATGATAATATCATGATATGAATGAAGACCTTATTTTCATTAAGTCAGGAAAACTTGTTTTTTATTTATTAAAAATTTGAATATGTATTGTAAAAGATTAACATAATCAGAATATTTACAATAATTGATACATATATTTTATCATCTCTTCTTTATTATTTCTTTAAAAAACAAAGTAGATATATTTAAAGATTCACTAGAATGATTGTATGGGAGGAAATACTCAAACCTAAAACTATTGATGAGTATCACTATACTTTAATCACTCTAGTGAAATTTATGCTATATATTATTATTATTATTATTAACGTCTTTATTCTCTGTTTCTTTGTTTTTATTGATCTATTCTTAAATAGTTTCTAGTATTCTCTTTTTTAGATTTATTTTTGTTAGTAGAAACTTTTTAAAGTAAAAGTAGCAATACCCTTTTTTACATAATTCGCAGATTTCAGTCATTAGCTTGTTAAATGAATAATTTAAGTCTAACCTAAACTTTTATCAAATAAGTTTTTAAAATTCTTTTATAGATTTTTGATATTCTCTAGGTATTTTCACTTACTAAATAGTTTAGCGAGTTTATATTTTACTTTAAATTTTTCTAATTCGATTATTTAAATTATTATTTTAAGCTTTTGGTTTATATTGTCAAACTGATTGTAAATCTTATAATGTAGCAAAAGACTGAAAACAAATCTAATTAATAGCCTGCAAAAGAATTTAACAGAAATGAACATTTTGTAAATCAGATTTTTTATAAAACAAATATATTTGAATAATGATTATTTGATATTTATAATTTAACCAATTGCAAATTTAATTTTTAGGTGAATTATTGATGCTAGTTTTATAATTAATCTTTTAATTTATCAAATGTTAATTAGAACTATAGCATTCATTATAACCATAAACTTAAAATAATTGATTTGCTAATCAAGCAGCTACTCTTCTAATAACTTACTCTAGTACTTCTTTATTACTTTTAATATTAATTTATCATTTTCTAATACAATACAGGTTTTGCTGATTATGTATTATATCAGAGTTATAGTACTTAGGTTATAGTGAACCAAAATTATTATATTTATTACTATTCTTACTCAAAATATATATAAAATTTTATTCTAATTATTATTAATAATAATAAAGAAAAGATATTTGCTTTATATTTCTTCAAGCTTTCATTTTTTTTTAGTTCATTATATGTTTGGATTATAGTTTGTTTATGGTTTATTATTTTTTTATTCTTCTTGATAAATATTATAAGTAATTTTTTTATTATCTAAATAATTTTGAAGAGTTTGGATATCATTAATTTTAAAAATATAAGAAGCAATCTTTTCTCCTTAAGCTTTTTTAGAATACTTCAAATAGTGCTATAATTCTTGAACTTTATGGTAGATTTAATGTAAATTAGTTTTATATAATATTTTTTATATAAAAATAATCCTATATTAATCCTATTATAATTTATATTTACTGTATTCTGGTATGATAAAGGAAACATTAAAGTTAACATGTTAAAAATTATGAATGAGTACCATTATTACTTTTCAAAATATACTGATCAATTTTATAGCTACATCAGCCTCTTTAGCTCACATGATTAAATGTTCACTTTATCTGGTTTTATTGCAGTCTGCCTCATATAATGATAAGGGACAAAACCTCTTAATAACAGTCAAAATTTAGACAAAACTATATTAAAATTATAATAAGGGATATGATGAAACCTTTCGATATAATGAAAGCTAAAACTATCAAAACTATATTAAAAATATAGAAAAGGGTATGACAAAATTATTTTGAGGAGGTTTCAGCAGGCATCTATAGCCTTATATATAATATAGTTACTAATATTTTATCAGTTGAATATTAATTACTTTTTTTTTGGCAAAAGAAAAGAAAAATAGGAAAATTTAAATTTAAATCATATTATATATATATAAAACAAAAAATAGAAATTACAAAAGGTAAATAAAAACATACACTATATTTAATATTTAATATATTAATAGTATAATTTTAACTATAATTTATTTATAATTATTAAGATTAAATAGTTTTTATGACATGCAAATTTAATTAAAAATACATTAAAGTTATAAAAAAAAATAATATTATAATAATTAATTTTCAGCTATTAAATAATGTTCTAAAATAAATAATTTCATTCTCATTATAATCTAAATAAAGCTGTATAATAAATACTAAGTAAGTTATATTTATTTATAATTTTATTTATATAATTATTTATTTATTTTTATATATAGAATGCAAATTTTATTGTATTTAATTAATAATATATAATAATAGCATTGCATTATTACTAGATTTATATTCAGTTATCTTAACGTTTAAATCAAAGGGTTGCAGCAATTAATTTTAAACATTAGAGTTTCTAATCTTAGAATTTTCTCTAAGTTCTATAGATATCTGTTATACTTGAATCAACTCAGCAATTTATTACGTCTTAGAATTTAAAATATATTAGTTAAACTCATAATGATGAACTCAATAACAAATTAGTGTAAAGTATTACAATAAATCCTAGATGAGAGACAATGTTGAAAGGAAAAGTAAATTTATATGGATTTAAATTGATTCCTTTATTTATAATACTGAATTTCGTAAGTAATTTACAAATGAGTTAATTTACAATTTAAATAAAAAGTTATTCTATTTATATAAAATGAATTTGCTATAACTAACTACTTGCTATGTTATAAATTAACTATTTTAGTAAATTTTAATTATAAATAATAATAAAAAATAATAAAATAAAGATATAAAATATATAAATTATAACAATGATAAAAATAAAAGAAATAATAAAAATAATAATTATAATAAAAATAATAAATATATAAAGAATTTAATAAAATAAGTTAATCAAATAAATCAGGTGAATCTGATAAATTTTGTAAATCTTACAAATTAAATAAATTAGTCTAATTTTTTAATACAGTATATTGATCAAGATTTTCCTTAATATAATTTATATAAAATTAAATCTAATGACTTTTATAAATCATGTTTTAGAATAAATTTTTAATGTTAACAGCATATATTTATTATTATTATATTATTTATTATTTTATTATTAAAATATATATTTTATTAATAGTGTACAATAGAATAAATTAATAATAAATATAATATAATATATTATTATAATATATTTTCTATTTATTAAATAAAAAGTTAACATATTATATATTATAATTTATATATATAAAAATTGATTAAATATTAAGATTTCTATATAAATATTATGTATCTAATTTATCAAAAATTATTAAACACTCAGATTATATTAGAATATCTGATATTTCTTCTAATATCTATTTGATATTTACCTAAAATATGCTAACTTGATAGTTTCATAAATAATTTCTGATTGTATTAAAAACTGATTAAAAATTATATAAACTTATTAGATTTTTTCAAACTAAATTCAATGAAAAAAGAAGGGTTATCAGATGATCAATAGTTTTCTAATAGTTCATGTATAAGATATTATATATTAAACATATAAGTATAAAATTATATAATATAATAATATAATTTTGACAATCTCAACTTTTAATTTTAACCATGATCTTTAAGTTAAAATATTTCGACTTTTGGGTTTTAATTTCGATTTTACGTATAATTTTTACTAAAAATTATAATTAAAATTTTTATTAATTTAATTAGTATTTTAAAATTGAATTATTTTAAATAAACTTAAATACTTTTTTATAAAATATATATTAAAATATACTTTTTATAATAAATTTAGTTAAATTTATATATAAACATCTTAGTAATTAAATATATAATTAATCTTAAACCATTCATTAGTAAAAATTAGGTAATTTAATTATATTACCTAGTAAGTATTATGATTGGTTAGAGTTCGATCCGAAAAGATCCGATTCATTAAAATATAATTAAATAATTAAATTACTTTCAATTCTCACGCTTAGAAAAAAGAAAAATGGATTTCACGAATAATAAAAATGATTTTGAAAATACTTTTACTTTTGAGTCTTCAAGTCCCCCAAAACAGCCTGCTCCTCCTTCTCCGGTAGAAGCTCATAAAGCTAAATATAAACGTAATAGTCTTCCTAGGAATGCTGAAGAAGCAAGGCAGCGACGTATTGAACTTGACGCGCAAGCTCGAAGAAAACACCGGGACCAACTCATTACCACTAAACGTTTCAAACATAATCTTGAAGAATACAAAGATGATGATTCTGGTACAGTTTTGAATCGGATTTGTAAAATACGAGTATATAATACAATAAGCACATTTAATCGAATTTTCTGTTTTACTGGAATTTTTTTTTTTTTTGATTGAACCTTAGAACCAGAATATAATTTATCTCAAAAAGACATTGAAAAGTTGAAATCTGGTTTGAATGTAAGTGACTATTTATTATTTTTATTTCTGTATCTGCTATTGAAGTTTTGCAATGCAAATACTCATTATTATTTGTTGTAGAATGTTAATCGAGATGCACGACTTTCAAGTCTCCAGGACTTGAGTAAATATCTCGTGGACCCTTCCGATATATTGAGGCAGTTTGTAATTGAAGGAGATTGTATAGAGATATTGATTGTATGCGTTTTTGCCTTTGTTTTTCATTTATGCATGAGAAGTTTTATCCTAACATTCTTGTTGATAAATATAGAAATTCTTATCCAGTATTGATCCGGCCGAACAACTTCAGGCTACTTGGTGTATTACAAGTATGTCCATTATTACTTTCAATATACTCATTTTGAATTTTACGATGAATACATTATTTATACTTAAATTTTATACCGTGTCTTTAAACGAAGACATTGCTGCTGGACCTAAAGAATTTGTTCAGAAAGCTTCGTTGGCAATTCCGTATTTGATCCCTTTCCTCGAAAGGGAAAACATTGTAAGTCGAAATTTGTCATGACGCGTCACTTGTATCAGATCCATACATTCCTTTGAAGATTGATTAACACGTTTTTTGTTATACCTTTAATAAATATGATTGCTATAATTAACTTCAACAGCCTTTGCAAGATCAGGCTGCTTGGGCTATCGGTAATATTGCCATTGAAAGTTCTGAGTGTAGGGAATTACTTCGTAAAAATGGAGTGTTGGTCCCCTTGATCAATTTGCTCGATTCTAAGGTAATACCCTATATGATATGAAACTTTTGAAAATAGTTGAGTTGCATTAGAATTGGATTTGTTATAAAACTTTATATTGGCGTTAGGATGTAAATCTCATCCAAACAGCCTGTTTCGCTCTCTCAAATCTTGCTCGTGGTCCAAACGCTAAATTACACGAGTTTTTCACTGCTGGCATCAACAATCGCCTTATACAACATTTAGAAACTGATGAGGTTTGAGAGATTACGATCGATTTTTTGTTAGAAATTTGATTTTATATTTTTTATAATAATTTATTATTCTCATCATAGAGCTTTGAAGTTGTCTCTGAGGTTTCTTGGGTGTTAACTTATATAACTAGTGACGACGACAATAAGTATACTGATCAGTTGTTAAACGAAGGGATTGCCCCACTTCTGGTATTTGAAATGTTTAATATGATGTGTCAAAACTTATTTACATGTTAATATAAGTATGATATTGTCATTATTATTAGGTTAAACACATGAGACCTCTGTTGAATCATGGACCTTTGTCGTTACCTTTAGTTAGAACATTTGGAAATATTGCTAGTGGTCCCGATACAAACACGGATCATTTGATTCGGCAACCCGATTTCCTGCCTTCAATGATTCAATATATTCAGAGTGATTGCAGGTAAAAATTTCTTTGAATTACTGTCTTAACTATACAACGGGAATAAGTAGATTAAATTACTTTATTCATAGGCCGGTCAAGAAAGAAAGTCTTTGGGTTATGTCTAATATAACGGCAACGTAAGTAATTACAAATTATTTACGTGAACATCTTTATATGTTAATATATACATTTCCTTTTTATTAAATAAAAAAAAAAAAAATTATTAATTAGCCGCCGTCCAGAAGTCTTAGTCAAAGTGTTTAATGCCGGATTTATCCCAATTCTTTCAAATATCGCTACTCATACAAACTTTGACATTCGAAAGGAAGCTGCTTACAGCTTAGTAAATATTGCATCACATGGCTTAGAATTCATGAAATCTTTACCTCATCAAGAGCTTTTACCAGGTATGGAATTTTTTTTTTTTACGCGTCAGTCACGCGTCTGCTGAACACGTGATTTATACCTATGAACTTGGAATTGCCAGGTTTCCTAGAGTTTATTCGGTCCCAAGATTATGATTTGATTCGCTTAGGATTAGGATATATTGAAATGTTATTAGCACAAGTTCCGGAGGTAATTTAATCTGTATATCAATGACATTACACTTTTTTAAATCGAAACTTATCAGACCTTTTTTTAAAAAAATATATATTTATATATATATATTTAGGGTAAGCAATTAATAGAAAATGTGAAGGGTATTGATGCAATAGAAACTGCTATATTGACAGAAGATGAATCATTACGTAACGCAGCCAGTCGTTTAATGGATAAATATTTTGGAGAAGAATTTTCTGAGCAAATGCAAGTTCAAATTGAGGAGACCACTTAAGGGAAGAAATTCAAGTGATTAGTTGAAAGAAGGTTTTAATAGTTAGCACTTTAAACTGTATTAAATAAACTTAACTTGTTCTTTCGAAAAGAAAAAAGTATTCTTTAACGTTAATTTATTGTATATTACAAAGAATATAAGATATATATAATAATAAAGTATTCAGACTTTGCTTTTGAACTTATGAAATTATTTTAAGTAAATGAATGTTATAATAAGCGATTTGTTATAAAGGATATAATAATATTTTACTGATTATAATCTAATTATAACAGGGATTTTGGATAGAATGCATTATGAATCATAACTATTTTAATATTAAAAGTGATTATTCGGGTGCATGAGAAAATAAAAATGAAACTGATTCACCATTATGAGTGCGTCGAATAGCTTCAGCTAAAGTAGGAGATATATCAATAGTATCAAGTTTTGAACAAATAGCTTTCTTATCTTCATGCGGTATAGAATTTGTCACCACTAATTTTTCCAAATCCGAACCATTGATTACATCAATAGCTTTACCAGAAAGGATACCGTGAGCCACTATAGCGTATACTTTAGTAGCACCACGTTCCTTAAGGGTTTTAGCAGCCAACGCTAATGTACCGCAAGTATCTGCCATATCATCAACGACAATGGCAACCTTTCTATTAACATCACCGACTAAAACCATACGTGACACTTCATTTGCCTTCTTGCGTTCCTTATGAATTAAAGCAAAATCAAGGTTCAAATGATCCGCGATTGACGTAGCTCTACATGAAAGAAAGAAGAATGCCTTGATTATAAAATCTTCTTTTTTTTAAAAACAAAAAAATAGAGGGAAGTTATACCTCTTTGCACCACCAGCATCAGGAGAAACGATGACTCCATTTTTCCACTCGGGAACATGAGTTTTAATATATTTTAACATGGAAGGTTCACAAAATAAATTGTCTACAGGTACATTAAAAAATCCTTGGATCTGACTAGCATGTAAATCAATGGTAATAACGTGATTTGCACCAGCCACAGTTATCATGTTGGCAACTAATTTAGCAGAAATTGGAGCTCTTGATTTATCCTTTTTATCTTGTCTCGCATAAGGAAAGCAAGGAATTACAGCGGTTATCCTACGCGCCGAAGCAGTTTTACATGCGTTAATCATGATTAAAAGTTCCATTAAATTATCATTAATTTCTCCACATCCAGATTGAATAATGAAAACATCTTCATCACGTACACTTTCTCCAATCGTCACTGAAGTTTCCTGATTAGAATACTTTAAAACGACGACTTTGGATAAATCTATACCTATTTGCCTGAACTCATAATAATAAGATCAAAATCATAGAACGTGGCAATCGACGAAAACGAACGTGATACATGGACGAATTAACAAAGTTAAATTAGATATTATATATCATGAATTGGATTGAATTGAATTGATAGAATAAAAAACTTTCAAAAAAAAAAAAAAAAAAAAAATGGAAATGGAAAAACGGAAAAGCTAAAAATTTGTGACATACGTACTTTGCTACAAGCTTAGTAAGTTCAACATGTGAACTACCCGCAAATATTTTTATAGAATTAGAAGACATTCTTACGTGAGAGTAAGATTTAGTAGCAAATGAAGAAAAGGCGTGAATGAATTCCAAAGTAAAAAAGGGAAAGAAGATGTATATTAGTCACAGACCCACTCTTAGTATAATAAATTAATAAATGGGAATGCAAGTATTTATTCCCACAAGAAAAAAAAAATTATATTTTTTTTTTTTTTGAGGAAAAAATTTTTTTTTTACTCATTAAAAAATTTTTTTGATTTTAAAAAAAACGCCCTACCTATTTAAAAAAAAAAAAAGATATGGCGCAGTTATAGATTTTATTTGTGTCTAATCTAAAATGGTTATAACGATAATTGCAAGCCACACCACAATGATCTAATTCCAATTATCAATGACCAATGAAAATTACAATTAGAATGAATGTATTACAAAGTCATTTAAGTAAATTATATTAAAAATATTCCTTTTTGAAAACTCTTTTTTTTTCTTTTTTTTTAAGTCTTTTTGTTTGTTAAGTTAGCTTGAAATAGTTTAGTGGGCCCGAATGAGATGAATGGTATGAATATTAGAGAGATTTGGTTAAAGGCTAATTGCTGATATTCATGACATTTCACATTTTCAGATACCATGGAGTACCTTTTATATAGACGTCGTATTTCAACAGGACACGCGTCGTTTGATGAGTTGTACGCATAATTATTACTTGTATTTTTTACGCGGCTTTTTATTCAAATTTCTTGGAATAATTGCGGTTACAGATACGTGAAATTTTTCGGGGATATTCCTGAGGAACAAAATTTACGGACATCTCAGAATGAATCATTCGAATCTTTGTATGTAAAGATTGTTTGATGTTTTATAAATTCAATAAATTCGATTCAAATTCTTTTAAATATTTATTCTTACTTGAATGTTTAGGCATCAACAACATTATCATAACAACGCAAATACGGAAATGATAAATCAACAATGCAAGTTTGATGACTTGTAAGTAATTTCATTATTTAATGAACATTTAAATCAACTCGATTATGTCTAATTTATATAAAATATTTATTTAGGTATGCAAAGTTCGCAGATAAGTTTCAAGCTTTTGACGAAGAAAAATGTTCGCCCGATTTTATCTACACTCTTGTCGATAACACTTCAAACGGTAACGTCGGCATTTTCATTTTGATCTTTCATTTTTCAAATGGATGTAAAAGATGCTTTCTCTTTCTTCAATATTAGATGCAAATCAAAAGTGCGAGTTCACTTCATTTCCACAAACAGGATCAAAAACTACTTCGTCTTTACATAAACAAACTTTCACAAATATTAAAATCTCCAAAAGGAAATAATAATTAATGCACCTAAATTAAAAAAGAACATGAAATATACCTAATAAAACTAATACTAATTTAGTTCTCATTATCTTGTCATTATAATTTCTTAATAAATGTTGTAAAAAAATTTTTTTTTTATGTTATACAAACTTATGGCAAATTCTTGAATTCTTTCTTGAATATAATTTAATTTTACCCAATCGAAAAATTTGATAATTACTTAGTGTTGTAAGGAACCAGATTATTTTAAAAACTTATACGCGCGATGATCTAACATTTTTTGGTTTTTCCGGTTTTATTGTTGCGCAAAAAAAAAAAATTCTTCAAACTAATTTTTACTACAGAGTCTGAGGACTCTAATATGTAATAAAAATGCTGACATATACAACCAAACATATTATGAGTTTTTATTATCGAAGAAATTTTTAATAAAGCTTGAATTGATATCTAAAAACATATAAATATCAGAATCAAGATCTAGATTCCTGATATAGATTTTCGATCTTTTTATTGTTTAACGTTATCATAATCTCCGATCTTATATTGTAATGTCATCATAATCTCCGACGTTATAACTATTCTTATAATTTTGAAAAAGATTATGATGGTAAACAATAAAAAATATAACGTTGAAAGAAGGCGCCTAGTAATAGTTATCTTCTAAATGTGGTTCATCAAATTATGTGATAAATTCTAATTATCATCATTACGCAACTGTAATAATATGATTCAAAAATTATGCTTATCGAATATTATTAAGCTTATAGACTTCTTGAAAATGTCTATATGTTGTAATACTATCATTTGATAATAGATCGCGTTGAGAAATTCGTGAATACATAAGTTCGTCTAGTACTTGGCTAATCCTCAATCCAGTTACCAGACTTGATCTTTTTACTCATAAAAGGCTTATATTCATTTACCAATTAAGGCAAACATAGATATCCTACCATACTTTTTCCATCTATATTAAATATTCTATGTAATTTTCAAGTAATTCACTATTTATAAATTGTGTTATTAAATATTTACGGTAAATTAATAATAACAAACGGGTTCAAAGCTGATCTCAAATCATATTAACCAAATTTGATTTTCTTATTCCTGACAATTTTTATTAAGAAATTCAATATTATTAGGATTTGTAATTAAAATATTATCCCTTCATCTGTAATGCAGGCAAATTTGCCTGCGAACATAAAAAAAAAAAGTATTAATTTTTTAATAAAAAATAAAATATTAATGTTAATAATATAATTATTATATAAAAAATATAG